TTGGTCATGGGGCTTGAACTCTGGGTCTGGGTGCTGTCCCTCAGCTCTTCAGCTCAAGGCGAGCATTCTACTACTTGAGCCACCGTGCCACTTCTGGTTTTCTGAATGGTTTATTAGAGATAACAGTCTCATGAACTTTCTTGCCCGGGCAGGCTTTGAACCATGATCCTCAGATCTCAGCCTCCTGAGTAGCTAGGACTAACTCTTAAAAAAAAAAAAACATTTGATTAAAATTATCTTTATTCTTTAAAATGTCTCTTTTAGGGTGTCTGCCAACTTCCCAGTAAAAATGATGAAAAGGAATGTCCACACAGAAGAATTGATATCAGGTATTACTTGAATTTTGTTGCTGGCCTGTTTAGCTTTTCTTCTTTTGAACCAATTTCTCCCTTCCTCTGAGTATCTTGAAGTTTATCTAAATGTCTGTCTGTCTGTCTATCTATTGTGTTGGTGTATAAACACACAGGGCCTAATGCAAGTTCTCTACCACTGAGCTACAGACCCAACCCCCAAACACTTCAAATCATTTAAATTTTCCACCCATCTTTAACATCTCTCCTCTTTCTTGATTTTCTCTCTTCTCTATCTTCATTTAACCTCCTCTTTCTTTTCTCCTTCTCCCTTCTCTCTCTCTCTCTCTTTTTTTTTGGGGTCCGTTGTGGGCCTGAACTCTGGGCCTGGGCGCTGTCCCTCAGCCCTTCACCTCAAGGCTAGTGGTCTACCACTTGAGCCACAGTGCCACTTCCAGCTTTTTTTTTTTCTGCTTATGTGGTGCTGAGGAATCGAACCCAGGGTCTCATGCATGTAAGACAAGGGCTCTACCACTGAGCCACCTTCCCAGTCCCCTCTCTCTCTTTTTTAACTGGTAGTTTGGGGGCTTAAACTCAAAGCCTCATGCTTGCTAGGTGAGTGCTCTACAATTTGAACCATACTATAGACAAATCCCTGTTTAGTCTGAAAGGTCATGTGTTTCTGCCGATTAGAATATTTAGCCTGAAATATGTAAAGAACAAAGACTATATGCAGACTGCTTTCACCTCACCATGATTCCTCCCACAGCCCCAAAATAGTTCCTGCAGGGGGACAGCAAAGTAATAATTGCTTTTCGCTCATATATCTCTTTCAGAGCAAAACTTAAAGACCTGTGTTATTGTTTTAGACAAACCTGATCTTGCTATGTAGTCCAGACTAGTCTTTTTTTTTTTTTTGATTAGAAAAAGATTTGGTCCTCAAAATGTTCAAATTAGGCTTATATAGGTGCTCTACACAATCAGTGACATTTCTCTAGTAACGAACTATAGAAATGATCCCTGAAAGTATAGTCTTGTCCAGACTAGTCTTGAACTCAACATCCTCTTGCCTCAGCCTCTTGAGAGCTGGAATTATAAGTAGGCACTACCACATCTGGCTCAGGAATATAGTTTTAGTCTATATTCCTTTTAAATAAAACCAAGTGAATCATTAGAAGACTACTAAAAAAAAGCTTGACTTTTAATTTGAAAATGACCTGTAAAGTACCTTAAGGATCCTTCTTTCTACGTAAGATAAGCTCTAGAAAGAAGCTGTATCTCCAGATGCCTCTGAACAGACACCAAGAGTCGTTGAGCTTTTACTCAATTAAAAGTGAGTCATTTCGTTGAAAAAAAAAACAAAAAACTTGAAGACCTAAACAGACTGCAAGTTTGGGTGATTTGAATGATCAACCTAGTGATAATCTCCTCTTCAGGATATTAGATCATATGTGTATATTTTAGGTATTTTGTTCCTTGCTGTTTTTTGAAGTCCTATGTTTATTATATTTCAAACATATAATAAAAATTATCTGCTCTTTTTTCTTTTTAGATTGATACCCAAAGATCAGTATTACTGTGGTGTTCTCTACTTCACTGGCAGTGACATTTTCAATAAGAATATGAGAGCTCATGCCCTAGAAAAGGGTTTCACAATTAATGAATATACCATCCGTCCTTTGGGAGTTACTGGTGAGTCTTCATGACTATCCTTATCATCTGGAGAGGTTTTTCTTTTCTTTTCTTTTTTGTTGGCTATGGAGTTTGAACTGAGTTCTTTTCTTTTTGTTGGTTGTGGAGCTTGAACTGAGTTCTTTTTTTTTTTTTTTTTTGGGTCCGGTCATGGGGCCTGAACTCTGGGCCTGGGCGCTGTCCCTCAGCTCTTCAGCTCAAGGCTAGTGCTCTACCACTTGAGCCACAGTGCCACTTCTGGCTTTTTTCTTTTTGCTTATGTGGTGCTAAGGAATCGAACCCAGGGCCTCACGCATGCAAGGCAAACGCTCTATCACTGAGCCAACTTCCCAGCCTGAACTGAGTTCTCTTTGTCCCCGAGTTCTTTTCTCAAGGCTACCTCGCTACCACTTAGAGCCATAGCACCACTTCCCATTTTGTGGTGGTTAATTGAAGATAGATCTTACAGACTTTTCTGCCCTGGCTGGCTTCAAACTGTGATCCTGAGCCTCCTGAGTAGCTAGGATTATAGGTGTAAGCCACTAATGCCCAACTGGAGAGAAAATTTTTCTCAAAAGATATTTTAGGTGACCAAATATAGTTTTTGTAAAAAGGTTTCTATTGACTATGCAAAATAATTGTAGTCCTTCAAGTTAGGACAGGCATTCCCAGGCCTCAATTCATGGGTGTTATTCGAAGCAAGTTATTTCTGCCTCTACTAGAATAGTTAGATCCTTCCTCCTATGATGATCATTTAAAAAAAAAATTCTGAAAGGTTTGTTAGTTTCTTGGCCTATTGCCTTTTTTATGTGTATATGTGCCTATACTAGGGCTTGACCTCAGGGCCTAGGTGCTCTCTTTTGATTTTTTTTTTTTTTTTTTGTGTGTGTGTGTGTGTGTCCGTCGTGGGGCTTGAACTCTGGGCTTGGGTGCTATTCCTTCCCGGGCTGGCTTTGAACCGTGATCCTCAGATCTCAGCCTCCTGAGTAGCTAGGATTACAGGCGTGAGCCACCAGTGCCTGGCTTGATTTTTTTTTTTTTTTCTTTTTTGTCAGTTGTGGGACCTGAACTTTGGTCCTAGATGCTGTATCTCAGCTTTTCAGCTCAGGGCTAGCGCTCTACCACTTGAGCCACAGTGCCACTTCTGGCTTTTTTTGCTTATGTGGTGCTGAGGAAGTGAACCCAGGGCCTCATTCATGTAAGGCAAGCACTCTACCACTGAGCCACCTTCTTAGCCCTCCCTTTGATTTTTTTGCTCACAGTTAGCACTCTACAACTGCTCAACAACTTGAGCCACAGCCACAGCTCCTCTTCCATCTCTTGGTGATTAATTAGAGATAAAAGTCTTACAGATTTTCCTTCCTGGGCTGGCTTTGAACCGTCCTGGGCTGGCTTTGAAACGAGATCCTCAGCTCTCTGAACCACTGTCTCCTGAGAACAGTGTCTTCTGAGACTCAGGTATATTACTTTTTAGAGCCACTTAAAACTGACAGGTTGGAGTATAACTCAGTGGTAGAGCATGCACTTGGCATGCCAGTACCAACAAAGCAAAACAAAAGAAAATCAGGATACTTTGACTCTATGTTTTAATATTTAAAAGGATGAGGATTTATCCTTTATGCTTTATGGATCTTGTTAACATTTGACAGACTATTCTATGATTTATTCTTTTCTGTTTGGGAGAATGAATTTTTGTCATTGTGTCCTAAAAGCATGAAATAGGGCATTAATCATCAGTGCCTGGGGCAATGCTTCTCTTATTTTAATGTGCATACACCGAATGTATACATGTCACTTGGATCTTTATTGTTTTTTATTTGCTAGTCATGGAGTTTGAACTCAGGGCCTGGGCACTGTCCCTGAGCCTCTTTGTGCTCAAGGCTAGTTAGTACTGTACCACTTGAGCCACAGCAGACTTATGGCTTTTCTGAGTAGTTAATTGGAGATAAGTGTGTCACAGACTTTCCTGCCCAGGATGGCTTCAAACCACAATCCTCACATCTCAGCCTCCTGAATAGCTAGGATTATAGGTGTGAGTCACCAGCATTTGGCTTCTTTGGTTTTGTTGGGGGAGGAGGGTGAGGGGAGAAATTTGGTATTGGGTTTGAACTCAGGGCTTTTGTTTGCTCTGGTTAGTTTTTGAATAAAGTCTTTCTTTTTTGCCTGGGCTAGCTTGGACCATGATCCTCCTATTTATGTTTCTTGACCTATCTGGATAACAAGCACACACCACTGTGCTCAGTTTTTCTATTTAGATGAGTCATAGACTTTTGCCCAGAGTATCCTGGAACTGTGAGCCTCCAGATCTTAGCATCCTGAGTAGATAGGTTTACAAACCTATCTACTGACACCTGGCTTGGGTCCTTATTTTTTATTTATTTTTACTTTTTTTATTTTTTATTTTTT